CGCCACAAGGACTAGTTGGAATCAGGGTGAGGGCAGTTTAGACGACATCTGTGAAGGGTAAGATTAGACAATGACTCATGCTTGCCAATGCTGACCGATTCTACCTCATACCTGAAGTGCAAAGTGACATTTCTCGCCCTTTCCCCAAATAAATCTTCCCTGCGCTGCATTCTCTGAGGACCTCAAGGCCTGTCAAGGACTTGGCCCCGAGCTCATTGAAACCACAGTAGATTGCCAAGTTTTGCAGATGTTTGCACTGACTGCTTTATGTTTTGCAATATTCTAGAGCTGTCCCAAGTGACGTTCATCCATTCACCAAGTTAATGCTTAATAAGAATGATCTACAAAGGGTGACAGCTCCAAAAGATGAGGAGAGGGAAAACCACCCCCAACGAGAGCGGATGAGCAAAATAAATAAATAAAACCAGTGTGGCTCCCAATAGCTTGAGGTGCAGAAGGGGGAACTTGAGGAGTAATTCCTAGGGGGAAAAATAGGACAACGTTGTTTATTTATGGACGTGCGCGCATTTCTTTTCTCCGAAGTGCTGGGAGACCCCAACGGGGCTGGGAAATGCTCTGGCTACACCAGAGCGGAGTGGAAATGAATGTGCACATGAGCAATCCACAAATGAGCGGCGCCTGAACGTACAACGTGGGCTCTTATGGAAACCCGTACGAGTTCAACAGCCAACCAAGGAGGGGTAAGTTCCCAGGACAAGAAAAGTGTGGTTAACTCTGAAGGATGCACAAGGATCCCAAAGCTCTAAAAAGTGAATGACCATGTCTACTTTTTAACCTGCTGTTATCGATAGCATCTCATAGAATGTTTGAAAAAATCCTGTGGGTGCCCATATTCAACGTTTCTACAAAAAGGAAGAGACTTAAAAGGTTTTCTAGAGGTCAGTCAACAGTTTGGTGGCAGATCAAGGATGAATGGATGGGTCTCTATCCTTCCCAGCATTGGTGTGGTGTACAAAACGCTGAATATGCTTTACAGCCGTGATGCACCACACGCTTAACGCATAAAGTCTCTAATCCTCACCTCGATGCTACGGGAATGGTATTATTATCTTCATTAAAAGATAGCAGAATTAATGCTCAGGGAGAGATTACGCAGCAGACCTGAGGTTACCATCCATTCAACAAAACTATGAGGACTCCGTTTGGTGCTAAGCCCGGAGTTTCTCAGATACCAAGCAAAGCAGAAGCACAATGGAGAAAAAGAAATTAAGGAATGGCCCCCGTCAAAGTAAGTTGTATTTTAAAGGATTTTTTTCAAGGCAAGATAATCGTTTGGTGCACTATGGGGTTTTTTTTTGTGCTAACAGGCTGAATTCCACGTAGGAATGGGAGAGAGGCCGTAATTGCTTGAAAGGGCTGCAGATGTACCCAGACTCATTTTATTAATTAAGCGGGCCTGGATGCTGATTCAGTTGCTATGCACCAGAGCTCCCGGGAAATGCATGCAGAGACGGAACCTTTAAGGAGATTTATCTATAACGCAGGTGGGAATTTTAGAAGCCGAGAGGAGGAATGTGATTGCACAACCATGTTATACAGCACAGAAATCCAGTTTCTAAAAAAATTTTTAATGTTTGTTTTTGGGAGAAAGAGACAGAGACAGAGACAGAGACAGAGCATGAGTGGGGGAGGAGCAGAGAGAGAGGGAGACACAGAAACTGAAGCAGGCTCCAGGCTCTGAGCTGTCAGCGCAGAGTCCTATGCGGGGCTGGAACTCTTGAACTGTGAGATCATGACCTGAGCCAAAGTCAGAGGCTTAACCGACTGAGCCACCCAGGCGCCCCCAGAAATCCAGTTTCTTAATAGTGTCGGTGGCCTATGATACCCCAAGCCCCACGCTAGCTGGAGGACAGGAGGAAGCATGTAGACAATTATAAGTTAATATAATAGTAAGAAAACATTAAAAAAAACACCAACAACTCTGGACCTACCCTCTTTGTAGGACCCCCAGCCTGCCTCAGTTTCCCCCCAGCTCATGATCAGGGACGGGACCTCCGGCAGATGTGCTATGCGAGGTGGGCACGTGCTCTGCCGCCGCGGTTCTCCCGCAGGAGCTTCGGTGTCTGAGCCGCCAAGCTGCTGCTGCTGCAGAGGCCTGACATCGTCCTCTAGCTGGAGGCTGCCCCGGCTGCCCCTGGGCCGCCCTGTCCCTGTCCCGCTCTGGAGACTGGCCTCAGGGGCAATCTTGTCTTTAACACGTGGCCTCCTCTGTTCCAGGGGTCACAGAAGACTGCACCCAGAGCTCCACCGCGTCTTACGGAGATTTTAATGGAACAGCTCTTCTATTTATTTGTGTTGCTGCCTCCACTGCCGGGGGCCATGGCACCAGTCCAGGAGAAGGGAGGCTGAGGTTTGGGGGTGGGGCTCAGCGGGGACAGCACACTTTCTGTCCCATGGCGTAGCTCCTGGTACTGACCCCGGTCCCCCGTCCTGCATCAATTCTTTCCCCTTCCCTCTGTTTTTCTCAGGCACATCTGAGTACCGGAGTGGATACAGTGTTGCCTATACCCTGGGACACTGGCTAACGCTAATCAGGCTCCCCCGCAACGTGGGAGATTCCGCCAGAAGGGGAACAAAGGTCAATGCGGTCATATGGAATCTGATTAACACAAAGCTGCAGAAACACGCTGCTGGATTAAATGCTTTCCCAAGCCACTCCGGCCCCTTGGGCAGCAGGAGCTATTCTTGCTGTGGTAGAATATGGGTCAGTTTGCTTCATTTGCCCAAGTGGGATGAGCTGAGCACCCACATTTCAAGTCTGGATTTTCCTGCTGTTATTTAAAAACTCTGTATATTTTAACAATGACGCTGTTATTGCTTGAATCTAAAAGGAAAGGGATTTAAAAAAAACCTCATTTTATTACATTGGGCTAAAGAAGAAAATGTTGCTTTTTAAAAAATCAGGTTTAGTGAGGTATAATTTGCATATCTCCTCTTCGGTGTACAGTTGGGTCACAAATATACGCAGTTGGGTATTAACCACAATCGAGTTTCCACTCCTTCCTCCTCAAAAGTTCCTTGTGGCACCTGGCACACCTACAATCTAGACCCCAGCCCCCCACAGCTATCATTCTGTTTTCTGTCCTTATACCTTTTCTAGAATGTCATTTTAGGAATCATACACTGTAGCATTTTGTGACTGGTTTATTTCATCCAGCACAATGCCTTTGAGATCCATGCACCTTGCTGAACGTACCAGCACTTCATTCCTTTTTACTGTTGAGCAGTATCCCTTATATGGATGCATGGCAATTTGCATGTACATTCACCAGTAAATGAATATTTAGGTTATTTCCAATTTTTAGCTGCTATGGAAATTTCTTTACAAGTGTTTGTGAAAACACATGTTTTCATTTATTTGAGGGAGATACCTAAGAGTAGGTTTGCTGGGCCATTGGGCAAGTATGTAGAGAAAATTTTTCAAAGATGAGGGGTAAGGGGCGCCTGGGTGGCTTAGTCGGTTAAGCGTCCGACTTTCGCTTAGGTCATGATCTCGCGGTTCGTGGGTTCGAGCCCCGCGTCGGGCTCTGTGCTGACTGCCAGCTCAGAGCCTGGAGCCTGTTTCAGTCTGTGA